GACCAAACTGTGCAGCTCTGCAACTGCATCCTGGCCCATCCTCACCCTTCTGCCCCCAACCCTCACCTCCTTGTACCCCCAATATGTTTTTCCCAATAAAAAAAATATTAAAAAAAAAAAGTACACTTGACCTAACCCATGGTCTTTTCAATGACTTCCTAAGAATCTGAAAGTTGGGCCATGACTATGGAAAACAGAAGAAGAATTAATTGATGCCTTTGAGTTATGGTGGTGTAGAAGAGTACTGAATATTTCACTAACAGCCAGAAGAACAAACAAGCTGTCTTGGAGGTGTGCAGCCAGGGTGTTCCTTAGAGGCAAGGATAGTGAAACTTCATGTCACGGGTTTTGGGCATGTTGTTGGGAGGGTATCAGTCCTTGGAAAAAGACATCATGCTGGGAAAGGTGGAAAATCAGAGAAAAAGAGGAAGACCCCTAATGAGATGGATTGACAATGACTATGGGCTTGTGCGTATCAGAGACAGTGAGGACGGCACAGGATAGGGGAAGGTTTATATCTGTTCTTAGGGTTGCTGTGGGTCTCAGCTGACTCAAAGACACCTGAAAACAACAAGAATAGCATAACCAAATTACTTTCTGCTTTAAATTTTTGTTGATATCGTGTGTTTTCAGTAATGGAAAGCATGCTGAAATCCAGGGGAAATTTTTTAAGTATGGATTTTGATACAAATATCTGGGACACATATATCCAAGCAGAGTCTGTTGATAGGATTGATGGAGTGAAGGCTGTTTCTTCAGATTCATGCAGTTGCACAACTTTCCCTGCTAGGTAACAGCACATACTCCAAATGGGATACCGGTTTCCCAAGAATGCTGAGCCGCTGGAAATGCTATTGGGTAATATATGTTCCAGAGATCACCAAAAGGTTATTTTTACCTTGTAAAAGCCTTTGCTACTACCATCTTTTCTTTCTGAGTGGGTGGATGGCTCTAATTGGATAGAACTCTTTTCAGGTATGCAGTGAGGAGGAGTCCTGGTCTAAATCATCCTACCTCCCCTGGTAGCTAATTAATCCTACTAGATGTCAGGATTGTATGTGGCTGAAGGGAAAAGAATGAGAAGGATGATTGCCTCAGGGAGTCTTTGGTATTGATTTGAGGAGCCTCCTCATTTGGCCCCTTGCACTTTTGCTTCTTGACATGTATCACTGTTTTACATTATATAGTTGTGTGTTTTAGGGAGCTCTGGTGACTTAGTCCATAGGGAGTTGTGCTGTTAACCCAAAGGTGTTACCTCTCTGGAGGTTCGAATCCATCAACAGATCAGCAGGAGAAAGATGGACAATCTTCTCCAGTGTGATTTACAGCCTCAGAAAACCAACTGGACAACACAGAGTTGGAGTTTTTTGAGATTTGTGTGATACCTATCTTTCAAATTGGATAGAAAACGCCAGTCCTTATAACACTGCCAGGCATCTTGTTGGCACTCAAAGAATATTTGTAGAACTGTGAGTTCTGGGTGATGACACTTACTAGCCTTTTGGGGATTTGAACTCATCCAGTGATGTCCGAGAGCACAGGCCTGGTGATTTCCTTCTGAAATATCAAAGCCTTAAAAACTGTGGGGAATTTTACTCTGCACACACGATGATGCCACAAGTCAGAATTTCATGTCTGCAACCAACAACAAAAACAGCGGGTTAGTAGTTGTATTAGACTGGAATGAGAACAAAGACTGACTGCAAATAGGCAGAAGGGAATTTGTTGGTGTGATGGAGATGTTTTAAAATTAGATTGTGTGCTGGTGGAGCAGCTGTCTATATTTTACATGAAATCGATGAACTGTACAATTAGTGACATTTATAGAATATAAATTATACTGCAATGTTGGCCCTCTAGAGGATTTTCAGAGGCAATTAATCACATAGGAGGGGATTACCCATCTTTCTCTCATGAAGAAAGCCCCCACGGAACCGGTGCATTCGAAACCGTGTACTTTTGCATTGGCAGTGCAATTCCTTACAATGATTTTAAATTCCTTTTAATTCTTCACAATACAAAACGAAAATAAGCAATAATGGAACGAATACATTATCTGTTTCCTTCCGCCGCATCGTAAACTCTGTAAGAGGAATTCTCCAAAACTTAGAAGGGTGATTGACACCTGGTAAGCATGGAACAAAAATGTCTTCAAGGACAGCTGAATGAATGACAGAAGGCAGGGAGGTAACTTCCCGGAGATTCCAGGCAGGCCCCTTCCGGGCTGTAACTATGCTTCGCGCGTCACCGCAAAGCAAGCCTGGGGATTGGTCAGAGAGGCGGCAGCTTCTTTGGGGGTGGGCCTACGAGGGGCGGGGCTAAGGCGGGATCCGGGCGCGAATCCCGCGGCTGCGCACTAGCATCCCTGCTGTCGCCGCCGTGAGAGTAAGGGACGCGATGGCCGGAGCCGCGTGGATGTCCAGGGTGAGCTCCTGTCCGGCCTGCGGTGGCGGGCAGGTGGCGGGCAGGTGGCGGCGGGCGGGGCGCGTGCTAGACAGGGGCAGTCGCTGGACCGGGACAGCAACTCACAGCCAGCTGGGGACAGTCTGGTCACCTGTAGGGCAGCCCTTGCCCCAGCGCTGGGGCCCTCGCGGCGGGTCTGTGCCCTTCTGCGCTGGGACAGCGGGGACTGCGTCAAGGTCAAGGCGTGGGTATGAACTTGGTTCCTTACAAGATCCTAGTACCATTGCCTGTGGCCGGCCATACCGGGGTCCAGGCCTCCCATTTAGCCTCAGAAGGTCAAGGGGCCCGCTGTCCCAGCTGCTTCCCAGGCTGTAGCCCCCGCTGCAGTGCTGATAGCTTGGAGCTGCCTTTCCACCCTGGGCCTCCTCATGCCCCCCAGCACGGTCCTAGATTCCCTTTTAATGTCCAGTCAGTCCTCGGTCTGGTAATCTGCGGGGCCTCTGGGACGGGCGTGGGATTGGGAGGCTTTCCCAGGTGAGGGAATCCCAAGATACCTCCTGCCAGTTTCTTTCTCCCCTTCCTCCCCCCTTTTTGGAACGCTCCCAGTGTGACCTCTGGTGCTCTTGTAGCTATTTCCCATTAGAGAACATGGGGCACCTTACACCTTGGAATTACCTCTGAATCATCGGAGAGGATGATCAGGAGCTCCTTCCTGTGGCATTTCTTGGTGGAAATGCTGCAATCTGGAGAACTCTAGCTCTCCTCTGTGGCAAGGATGCCTGAGTTGGAGAGGACTACACATCATCACAGCAGTTTCTGGGTTCCTGGGAAGGGGAAACCTGTGCCTGAAGGCATAACTTTCTCAAGGTCATACAGGTTGTCTGTGTCAGAACTGGAAGAGAAGTCCAAGTCCCTTGATTCCCATTTCTAGGTCCCATTTGGCTTACTTTGTGGCCAAGGTCACACAGCAAATTAAGGGTACAGGGAAAAGCAGGCCTCAAGTCCACTGTTGATCTTAATGAATGACTCTAGAAATCTCTTAGAAATACCTTTATTTCTATAAAATGTAGTACTTTCCTCCTTTGTTTTGAGTTTTAAAGAGCAAGCTCTGAGTGCATTGTTACTTTGTGAAGAGAAATGGAATTCAAGAATCTCGAATTCTTGGATTGTCACTGTTTAGGCTCCGTGACCCTGAACAAATTACTTAATATTTCTTGAGCCTCCATTTGCTCATCTGTGAAATGTCCGTGTTTTTACTCCTACATGGTTAGATTCTAAGAACAGATCATTTTGTAGCAATGGAGGATGATAATAAAAGAGAGCATGACAACATCTTTAACTGCCAAATGACATCATTGCATTACTGTCAAATCACAGGGAATCATGGTCCATTCAGGATGACACAAGACCTTAACCACCACATCCAGTGTTACTCTTGTGATTCTGCTAGATGTATGTCATTGTTGTTGTTATGTGCCCTCAAGTTGCTTACGACTCCTAATGACCCTGAAACCTGCTCTATCCTGTGCCAACTTTACTGTCCCTGACCCACCTGCCCCCATTTCCCTAGTCACTGTATCAACCCATCTCATCGATGGTCTCCCTTCTCTCTCTCCGTCCCTCCACCCTTCCAAGCTTGATGTCCCTCTCCAAGGACTGGTCCCTCCTTGCACCATGCCCAAAGTATGGTAGACAAAGCTTCAGAATCCTTGCGTCCTAGGAGCAGCCTGGCTTCACAAACCTGTTTGTTTTCCTGGCAGTCCTTGGTATACCCAACATTCTTCTCCAGCACCACACAGCTCTCAGGCATCAATTCTCTTTCATTGTCCAGCTCTCTGATGCATAGCAAGCAATGGCAATCAGGCACACCTTTAATGTACAAAATAGTATCTTTCTTCCCATTGTTTGTAAATTGGAAATGTATATTGGGATAGTTAATAAATGAGCAGTGAATTTGTCTAAGAGTTGCCTGAGGATTAAAGAATATCTGTGAAAATGCCTAGAACATGTAGAAGGAACACACAAATCTAAAGTTTTTCCAGCTTTCAGTGTGTGATAATCAAGCAGACAGTTGGGCCAAGTAACTAGACTTTACTCAGTAATTGGATTCTGCTTTGTTACTCTCTTCACACCTAGACTAGTTTGTGATGGTGGATTATGTCCCGTTTGTGCAAAAGCTAAAGCAAATCTGTCTGTGCCACTATACAAAACAGAAATTAATCCTTTCTTCACCAATCTTGCACTTAACATCTGATCCATCTTTGGTCTTTAAGTCTTCAGAATGAGGGACAGAGGCAACACTCCTGTTGATAATGAACACGATAGGAAATGAGTTTCATTTTCAGTGTGGAATTGTTCAGGTTCGCTGACACCCATCTCCCTTTCATTTGGCCTCTGTGAGCCACATTTCTCTCGGGTTTGAAGCAGAGGTGCTTTAAGAGACTGTGCCAGGGTGAGACTGGGGTGCAGCTTCAGTTTGAGAAGTGTCTCTATTGTAATTACACGTGAAGTTTTAAAAAGGCGTCATCAATCAGGAAAAGAAACAAACCCCTCTATAAATAGAGAAAACAGAGGGTTTCTATAGACTTTCCTGGTACTAACATACTATCCCATAATTATCATGAGTCAGTTCCCTATTAGCAGTCACTTACTGATTTTTAAGTTGAATTGTGAAGCTATAAAAACAAAATGAGGAAATTTGGGTGAAGATCGCTCGGGTCTTGGAGTTCCAAACTCAGGTTTCAGTTCAGACTTTGTGAGCTGAATGAAAAGTTTGGAAATTCATTCAGTATAGAAACTCAATGATGCATATACACGAGTGCATTACAAAATAAAAAATTTTCTTTTAAAAAAAATTTCTCTTTACATAACATTCTGGAATATTTATTTGAATGACTGAGGTGTTTATCAATTTAATGAATACCACCTGATTCAAAGATCTGTGGATTGATCAAACAGGAAAAGAATCATTAGAAGCATTACAGCTTTTCGCTGGGGTAGAAAAAGGACATCAGATGGTGGCTGCCCTCAGTTAATTCAACACATACGTAACTGATCACTGACTATGACCCAGGTAACAGAGATACAAATAAAAGTGAACAAAAGAAAAGTCCCTGTACTTGTGGGCTTACATTTAAGTCCATTTTCTCAGGTTTTCTGTTTTGTATTTCCGCTGTTTTGGGAGTGGTGAGAAGGACTCCTGCATTTGTATAATAGTGCGTATTACAGGGTAGCCTTTAATGGCCCTCATCTAGTGTTGGATGGATCATATTTTAGGATTAAGATTTTGGAATAATTGTTTTTCTGGAAGGCCCTCAACCAGGTGAGTCAACACAGTGACTGCAGAAATGGGCTGGAAGGTGTCAGAGATTGTGAGGATGGCACAGGATAGGACAGGGTTCAAATCTGTTTATAGCATCGCTATGAGTTGTGCTTGACGGCCCCTAACATCCCCACCGCAGGGATGGAGGATGATAATACAGTCTATCCATGCTTCCTGAGCTGGTCGTTGCTGTCTTATTATTGTTGTTTTATGTGCTATTGAGTCAGGACTGATTCACAGTTGACCATCTAGTGGGTTTTCAGAGGCAATCAATTGTGTGGGTGGAGATGGTCTATCCTTCAGTAGTAGTGGTTTTGCACTGCATGCTTTTGGGTTGGCAGAGCCCCTTTACCACTGGGCCACCAGAGTTCCCCTTCTTATCCTTAGTAAATGCCAGAATTTCAATGAAGATTCCGGTCAGATAAGAACCATTCTCAAAAAGGGAACCAAAAAGAGGATATAACAGATTTCTTTTTGCTTATTTATTGAGTATGACAAAAAGAAATACATAATTGATATTGAAAATCACTGTTTTGTATGTTGCAGGTGTCAAATGTTATTAAATAAACCTTGAATTTTTACTACGAAGTACAATGTTTTTATATTCACAAGAGAATAGGCATACTGTGTGGTTGGATTAAGGAGCGCTGGTGGCACAATGGTTAAATGTTCATCTGCTGATTGAAGGGCCAGCAGTTGGAATACACCATCCACTTCACGGGAGCTGTTTCTCATAATGATCACAGCATGGAAACTTATAGGGGCAGCTCTATGGGTTGCCATAAGTCAGCACAGACTCAACAGCAAGTTTGTTGGCTTTTTTTTAATTGGGTAGTGGCCTAGTTTTAGGGAGTTGTGCTGTGAGCTTCTCTGGTGGTTCGAACCCATCAGCAGCCTCTCAGAAAGGTGAGCGGTCTCCCATGTGATTTACAGCCTCTGAAGACTTGCTGAACGGTCAGCTATGAGTGATTTCTTCTCAGTGTCCATGAAATAGAGTGTTGAATTCAGAGTCAACAGACATGGATTATGGTTTCCTTCTTGCCAGTTACTAACTGTACAGCCTTAGGCATATCCTTACTTCTGGATCTAACATCCCACCTGTAAAATGAATGTTGTTGTTTGTTGTTGTTATGTGCCGTCGAGTCGTTTGCGACTCATGGCGACCCTATGTACAACAGCCCTAAACCCTGCTCTATCCTGTGCCAGTCGCATTGCTTCTGACACACCCATCCCGATTACCCCAGTCACTGAGTCAATCCACCTCATAGAGGGTCTTCCCCTCCTGCGCTGTCCCTCTACCCAGCATGATGTCCCTCTCTAAAGACCTGTCTCTCCTTACAACATGTCCAAAGTATATCAAACAAAGCCCCAGAATCCTTGCCTCCAAGGAGCCACCCGGTTTAACCCTCTCCAGGATGAATCTGTTTGTTTTCTTGGCAGTCCATGGTACATTCAATACCCTTCTCCAGCACCACAGCTCAAAGGTGTCAATTCTCCTTCTATCCACCCTAGTCATTGTCCAACTCTCTGATGCATAACAAGTGATTGCAAAAACCATGGCCTGTATCAGGCGGGCCTTAGTCTCCAGAGAGACACCGTTGCTCTTGAGTACTTTAGAGAGGTCCCTAACAGCAGACTTTCCCATCGCAATATGTTTTTTTATTTCCTGACTGCTGGTGCCAAGAGTGTTGACCTTGGAGCCAAGCAAACTGAAGCTGTAAACAATCTCAATCTCTTCGCCATCCATCCTGATGTTACCGTCCAGTGGTGAGAATCTTTGTCTTCTTGACATTGAGCCTCAGTCCATACTGAAGGCTGCAGTCCTTGACCCTCTGCAGTAAGTGCATGAGGTCCTCCTCAGTTTCAGTGAGTAGGGTTGTGTCATCTGCATAACGCAGATTGTTGATAGATTGTCCACCAATCCTAATGCCACGCTTCTGAGTGTACTCTGGGTTTTATAAGGAACCTCCTGGCTCTAAAGTTAGTACCTGTTTTCGTAGAATATGTGGAATCCCCAATATGAGCATGTTGTTATTATTATTGAGTTGTAACCCACCCATAGCTGACCTTCTGGTGGGTTTTCAAGGGCCGTTAATCACATGGGGCGAGATTGCCCATCCTCCCACTGAGAAGCTGGTGGATTCAAACTGTGTGCTTTAAGAGTTGCAGTGTAGCTTCTTACCAATAGGCTACCAGAGTTCCCTCAAATGAACATTGTGGTCAAAAGAACCCAGATCATCTGAGAAAAAGCCATTGTTTGAGCTAAAAAGTTACAACTTAATTTTACCCTCAATATCTTTTGACAACTTGCATTCATAAAATTGAGTAAAAGTATATTGTACTTTGATTTGGAGAGGAAAAGCATGTTGAAAAGTTTTTAGTTTTTCAAATATGAGATAGTTTCTCACAGGAGGAAAGTATTCCTGAAGATAACTGTGCAAGCTTGCATCACCGTTAGCCACCAGCTATGTCTCCATCTCGCCTGTATCTGACTTCATGTGTATTACTTTTCTCTGCTGATACTAATATAGGTCTCTCGGCTGCTGGGGGCGTTCCACAATCCAAAACAGGTGACCAGAGGTTTTTCTGGTGGAGTGAGTATAATTATTTTTTTTTTCCTTTTAGAAGTTTCTCAAGAAAGATACTCTAATAAATTTATATTATTTATATTGCTACTATGTAGCGCTGTCTCCATTTATATGAAACTACAGAAAATTGACCCTACTTAAACCATATCTTATAATTATTGGCAAACATACACATAAATTTGTTGTGTTATTTTTTCATTTATAAGAATATTGCAGCTGACTATAAACCTATCATAGCTATGATCTTGAAGAAGTCTTGTTAAAAATAGATAGCAAGTACCCTTCCAGCTTGTTACCCTATTTCACAATTTCATTCTGATAAGAGTTTTTCAAAAGTAGTGCAAGCTGAGAGAAAATTATTGAGAAGCTTCAAAACTTGCTTTGCATTTTTATTTTGTGAGCTTCCCTAAAAACAGTAGATTATTACCAACTAGAAATACCTTCAAGATCCATAAGTCTTCCTTTTCATGTGTAGTCTTTATAGATTGTGAAAATCCTTTCATATTAAATCTGCTGCTTTTAGAATTTCCCTGCATTAGCTCTGTGCTTTAAAAGCTGATACCACATGTTTGGAGTATTCTAAGGCTGTGTGGGTTGGTGACTTCTTTTTATTTTGCCCCCTTCTTAAGGAATCTCATTTGGATTTCATAATTCCTAGACTCCCACATAACATCTTATGCTATGAAGAATTCATTAAAAACATCTTTCCCCCTTCCCCATTTTCTTCCTGTCCTGTGGAAGGAAACTAGATATTTCTGGTGATCTGATGGCATTTATTATCACATGTTGGGAGAACAGGAAGAAGAAGCCAAAGGGTTCTTGTGGCTGTGCTTATGCAAAAAATGCAGAATGAGACTTTTAAGTCCAAAGCCAACTAAGCTACCATTTCAAACATGTTTTGAAAGAGAATGGCATGAGTGTTCTCTTTACTGTTATTTAATTTCTAGACCATTTTTTTTAAAAAATAGAGTTATATTTGGAAAGATAAGTGAGGATTTCTTCAATTGTAAGAAATAATCAATCTACCTACTCAGTGGTTGTCACTCTGAGGCACAGGTCCCAGAAATATGTGAGTCAGTGACTGGGGGGAAAAAAAGGCAACTAGAAATGAAATATGCAAGGGACCATTGTCTGGTCCACACCTCCAAGGTGGGAAAAAGCCTCCAAATAATAACTAGTTCCAAAAGGGGGTACTGATGGCTTATTCCATCGGGAGTTACACTGCTAATCCGCAGCTGTGAGTCTCTTGTCGTCTTAATCCAGCTATTCAATGGGAAAGATGGGCAGTCGTCTTCTTTTGTGATTTATAGCTTCTGAGACTCAACCGACTTGAACCAATTTGTCAACAATGAGAATGAGTCAATGAAAATGGAGAGAGAGGGAATCTGAATTTTATCTTATTAAAATCTTCTCACATTATTTGTCCTTACATATATTTATTGTTTATGTGTTTGAAATGCTGGCTTTATTTTATTTGAAACTATTGAGCTAAATCTTTGATGTTACATTATAAATACATTTATAATGTCATCACTGTGACTTAGACTACTGCTATTCTTGGTTTAAAATATGATGAGCTTAATTATTCAGATTACACTTAAGGAGTTCATTTTCTAGAATAACTAGGAAAAATGAAGGCTGTCTCTTGATTTGAAATCTGATCTTTCCCTGAGTGCTCTGACATGCCAGGAATATTCTGGAAAGCATCTTGAAGAAGTTAAGTTACTAGACTTTGAAAAGTTTGGATCACAGTGCAAAGAGAAACCCTCTGTCTTCTTTTTAAATTTGTTGTTGTTGTTGTTTTGTACTGTGGAATCAGATCTGACTGGTACAGGAGGAGTTTGCCCCTTCTTCTCCAGCAGAGCATCTGGTAGATTTGAACTGTGTGCCTTTGGGATTGCAGCACAGCTTCTTGCCATTACGCCAACAGAGCTCCCTCACCCTCTCCTTTTTAGTGAGAGAACATTAATGAAATACTTCCTTGCCTTTAGTTTTACAGACTTCAATTAATTAGTCTCTTTGTTGTTCATCTGAAAAGAAATCCACTGGGTGATCTACTTGGTAGTTTTATAAAAAAGAGTGTTATGGAGTTTCTTGTCTGTGGTTTCTTCCCTCTATTTTGATGATCAATCCAAACAGCATTTGGGTCTTAGGAGATGTCCATAAAGTTCTGTATCATTGGTGCCCTTTTTGAAACCTTCAGAAGTCAATTCTTATTGTCTTCTCTGCTGATTTCTTGAATTCAGGTTCAGACAGTAACTTTAATTCCAGGAGATGGCATTGGCCCAGAAATCTCTGCTGCTGTCATGAAGATCTTTGATGCTGCCAAAGTAAGTGGGTTTGCAAATCATATTTAGTAGTTCCTAGAAGAATCTCCTCAACTAGTTGGACTCTGTGAACTCTGGGAAGAATTGTAAATGCATATCTTAAGCTGATAAAATCTGTGGTTAGTCTTCACAGAACATTAAGACTTAGGATTTTTGTTTGCGGCTGTCATTGTTGGTGGTTAATTAATTACATTGCTGTCTATCATATATAAAGTAATTGAGAGAGTATGATTGTGTTAATAGATCAAATCACTTCTACTCTTATTCTACTTTCTTGTCAGAAATTAAAAAAATTATGTAGGAGATTTAAAAAATTTTTATTTTTCAGTTTATCATTAAAACAGGGTCTAAGTAGTACTTCTAACAACCCATTCGCCTCCCATAGGTGTAAATACCTTAAAATTACTTTTATTTTAGAGAGTTATGAAGTTTAGACTTTGCTTGACATGATGCTTTATTATTGCTAGGTATAGCTGCCAGGTAAAATGATGCATAGGATAAAATCAGTTTAAATGAGAGCTCTGAAAGTCTCCTCCAGAGCAGATGATGCTTATAAATTCCCTGAGGGCATTGAAATATGATCTGTTTCTCGGTTGTGGCTCCTTGTGCACAAGGACTGCATCTTATCCCTCGTCCTTATTCTTAGTGCTTGCTCGGTCAGCGTGCTTGCTTTCAAATGTGCACACACATATAAAGAATGCAAGTAGGGGGAAAGAGGGACCCTAATTTATACTAAATGGTTAGCTTCGAAAGGCCGTGCATTATTTTGTTGTTGTTGTTAACTGCATTGCTGAGATACAGCTTACATATTTAACGTTTACAATTCAATTTTATAATTGAAAAGTTTTTAGTGTATTCACAGAATTCTGAAACTATCACACAGACTAGTTTTAGACCATTTTTCATCGCCAAAAAGAAACTTGCACATGAGCAGTCACTTCCTGGACCTTTCTGTCTCTCCCTCTCCCCAGCCCTCTTGTGTGTGCCATCAAGACCGTTCCAGCTCATAGAGACCCTACTGGACAGAAAAGAATGGCATTATAGGGTATTTAAAGCTATAATCTTTACAGGAAGGAGCCCTGGGGCACAGTGGTTGAAGTGCGCATCTGCTTATTGAAACGTTGGTTGGTTAAACCCACCATCTGCTGCTGTGAGGGAGGAAGATGTGGCAGCTTGCTTCTGTAACGATTGTGACCACGAAAACCTTGTGGGATAATTCTCTGTCCCATAGGATTGCTAATAGTCAGAATAGACCCTGTGGCAGTAGGTTTGGTTGGTTGTGAATTTTTATGGGAGCAGATCATCCACAAAGCTGCTGGTGAGTTAGAACTACCAACCTCCAGATAATAGCCAAGTACTTCACTATTGCACCACCAGTCCTCCTTCCCCAGCCTACACAACCACTGATATTTCTGTCTAGATCTGCTAATGCTAGACAGTTTGTATAAATGGAATGATACATTGCCCTTTAATAACTGGCTTCTCTCTCTGAGCATAATGTTGTCAAGGTTCACCTGTGTGGCAGCATCCATCAGTGCTGTGTAGTGCTTCTATGAGCCCCATTTTCTCTGCTTTTTATGCTGTTCTAATTATAACCATGTAACAGTCCTTGTGAAAACAGTGAGTGGGCAAGTGACAGCTGAGAGTGGACACTGGACAAAGGCCCAGAGAATCCCCTTGGGAACACTGGAAAGTGACAAGTTCTTTTTGGCTGCTAGTATGGGCTTTTATTGAAGAAGAGTTTATCATCTTTTCTCTGTGGTGTGGCCTCCAGGCACCTATTCAGTGGGAGGAGCGGAATGTCACTGCCATCCAAGGACCAGGAGGAAAGTGGATGATCCCTCCAGAGGCCAAAGAGTCCATGGATAAGAACAAGATGGGCTTGAAAGGTAGCACGGTGCTGATAGATGATTACTGCTGATTTTGTTACAGGTTGTTGTTTTTTAAAAAAGTCTGTCCATTTAAGACCCTCAATGAGATGAATTGAGTCAGTGACTGGGGGGAAGGTATGTTGGAGATGGTGAGATTGGCACAGGATTGGGCAGAGTTTAGAGCTGTTGTACATAGGGTTGCAATGAGATGCAGACAACTCAACAGCACATAACAACAACAGGGCTTAACTGTGTCCTAAAGCAGTAGCGTCCCTGTATGAAGCAGTTTATTCGTAATAAAAATCTTCATTTTCCATTTTGCGACTTTTTACCCCCCTTAGTAAAAACCATGAAAGTTTTCTTGGTAACATCAAATGACAATAGAAACTTATCCTTGACTACATTTATCTTTTGCTTGTTGTTGTGTATTTTCAAGTAAAAACTGACTCATAGTTGACCCCCTAGTGGGTTTTCAGAGGCAGTTAATCACATGGGAGGAGATTGCTCACCCTCTCCTTTGGAGTGACTGGTGGACTTGAACCATGCACCTTTGGGTTGCCAGTGCAACTGTTACTGTTAAGCCATTTTAATTCATACATTTTTAAGGTCAAGATTCAAATGTGAGAGATTCATGTTCAACGAAGCTCTAAATATACATAGATCTAACGTTGAATCAGATCTCTGCCACTTCCTGCCTGGGGGGTGTGGGCAAATTTCTTTTTTTTTTAAAAAAAAATAATGGTACAGTAAAACCTACCAGAGCCAGAACTCCAGTATAAGGCAAAAACCTGACAAAGAAAGAAAACTGAAATACCATGTTAATAAAGAGCAGTAGGAGAGCGATACGATCACTATTAAAGATGGAAGACTTGTCTGACCCAGAAAAACAGGGCAGTCCCCTTGAGTTTTGGCTGCCACCGGTTTCGCTGCAGTCGCGACTTAATAGGGTTGTGGTCATGGTTAGATCCAGAATGCTTCCATGAAGAAATGCTTTTCATTTGCATCTGAGGAAAAGGCTGGGGTTAGAGGTGAGCACAGGTAACAAGGTAGTGCCGGCAGGTTAGTCTGTTTTGAATGTATCCTGATCTACTGCTGATGAGAATCATATCACCTGAATGTTCTCCTTTGTCACAGGCCCTTTGAAGACCCCAATAGCAGCTGGTCACCCCTCTATGAATTTGTTGCTGCGTAAAACATTTGACCTTTATGCCAATGTCCGACCATGTGTCTCAATTGAAGGTTATAAAACCCCTTACACTGATGTCAATATTGTTACCATTCGAGAGAACACCGAAGGAGAATACAGCGGCATTGAGCATGTGGTAAGTTCGCTTCAGAGACTTTATGCTTCAATGGGATGCTTTCTGTGCACCTGAGGTAGTTGTACAGGCTCCCATTTGCTGGTATCCCTAGGATAGATCCATTTTTTACTTCTGTAATGAATTTTGGATGTTGGTGCTGTTCTCTTGACTAACAGTCCTTAACTGGATGCCAAGAGAAATAGAACTTGGTGGTTCAGAGTCCAGGAATGGAACTTGGCCATCTCTTTGAATCCTGAATCCTTCCACTTCCCAGATACTCTCTGGCAAGTGACCATTGCTGTACTTGCTTTCCTTAACTGTGCAGTGGGTTTATAATACCCACTTCATAGGACTGTGTTAACTTTTAATGAGCTACTTATATGCATACTGCTAGCCATGGTAGCTGGTCCAGTACTGGCACACCACAGACTTTTATCTACGTAGATGGACTGTTTGTGGTGTGTTGCTGCTCCAGTGAGGTGGTGATTTCCCTTCTTTCAGATTGTCGATGGAGTTGTGCAGAGTATCAAGCTAATCACTGAGCAGGCGAGCAAGCGCATTGCCGAGTTTGCCTTTGAGTATGCCCGAAACAATCACCGGAGCAACGTCACGGCTGTGCATAAAGCCAACATCATGTGAGTCCTGGGGGGAGGGGGTGGTGCGCACTGTCTCATTTGATGGGGGAACGTTGGAGGGCTTAGGAATGCAGATCTTGTGCATTTAGGGAAAAACAGGTCCTGGAAAAGGGAGCTGCAGTCTCAAAAGGGTAGGTCCGTTTTGTGTTTTAGAAGTAGAATAATAGGAATGTTTCTATAAATGCCACCTTAAGACCTTCAATGAGAAGAACTGACCGAGTGACTGTAACAGTTTAAGGACTGCACAGATTGTGAGGATGGCACAGGGGTGGGCAAGGTTTCTCTCTCTTATATACAGACAGAGTCGCTCCTAACAGCAAGGGGTTAAAATGGTACTACTGGTGCTAATGCTATCAGATGCATTACTCTAGCTGTTTAAATTCTCTTCATCCCAATCTACTAAAACCCATTTCTGAATATATAGTTTTCCTAAGCTTAAAAATATTGAACATGAAAAATATTAAAACCATGTCAATAATGAATAAGTTAACCTTGGGTGTTTTCTTATTCATTGCTATTTCTTAATTCTTGCTGACTAATACTATAAATATTGTCTTCTCTTTTCTCTGTTATGATCATGCTCGCTTACTTGCTGTTTTATGCTTCCAGAGTATATTGTATATTGAATTTGAATTTATTAACTTCCTAAAGAATAATTTTATTGTAATCCAAATAACATCTGGCTTCTGGAACTTATCTGGCACTTCTTTGATTTGATCTTTTTTTTTTTTAATTTCTGCAAGTCTTTGCTTTCAACAATTTTTATTTGATTAAATACAGGAGAATGTCAGATGGGCTTTTTCTGCAAAAATGCAGGGAAGTTGCAGAAAACTGTAAAGATATTAAATTTAATGAGATGTACCTTGATACAGTATGTTTGAATGTAAGTATATATTCATACTTATCTGCTACTTTTTGTGGTATACAGTGTGTGTGGTGTACAGTTTTTAGTTGCTAAATATACATATGCTTTCCTTTTAGATGGTACAAGATCCATCCCACTTTGATGTTCTTGTTATGCCAAATTTATATGGTGACATCCTTAGGTGAGTTGGCTGAACCTTGTGCATTTTAGCCTGTAGCTTATTTAAGAAGAAGCCTTATTTATATAAGCAGCACAGTGATCGAGCACTTGAATGCTAACTGAAAGAGCAGTGGTTTGAACCCACCTGCTGTTCCGTGGGATAAAGAGGCAGTCTGCCTCAGTAAGATTTACAGCCTTCGAAACCCAGTGGGACAGTTCTTCTCTGTCCTGTAGGGTCATTATGTGTTGGACTTATTTGATGGTAGTGATTTTACTTTTTAAGCCACAAAATAAAGAAATTAAGGCTTAAAGTGTAATAAAATAGAAAATAATGTTGACATTTCTAACAGTACAATGGTACCGATAACTCAGTATTGGGTGGGTTGCTTCTTCACTTAGGTTATCAGATCAGCTCTCCACAAATACAGTGATGTCTCTCTCTCTCTCTCTCTCTCACACACACACACACACACATACACACGCACGCTAATGCCCACATAGTGATTATCTAACTCTGCCATTTATTTTACATTTATTCCAGCCATTCCTCTATATGGAAAAGCTGCTCCTTTTTCTTCTCTCTTATCTCTCCATCTGGATCATTATGGATTAATGTTTTTTTATTTTGTTCAATGGCTCTATCACTGTCATTACGTATCCTGATGCTCAGAGTGTCCCAGATTTGGCCAGGGGCAGGCCCTCCAAGTTTTTGTGTTTGCAACAGCTTATCATACTTAGAGCTTTGCTTTCTTCACAAGATGTTCCAGGCTCATTCAGCATTTTCCTAACCCTAGCCCTTGAACCAGCCATTTCTTCAAGGAGTGCTGGCTTTGTTTAGTGAAGCAGGGAATTTACAAACCAAAATGTGGTTTGCTAAATGTGGTTTGTTTCTCCAACTGTACTTTGAACTGTTTTTCTGCTCCAAGTGACCTGTGTGCAGGATTGATTGGAGGTCTTGGTGTGACACCCAGTGGCAACATTGGAGCCAATGGAGTTGCTATCTTTGAGTCGGTAAGGATCCTAACACCTGTGCAAAATAGCATGGGCTTATCTGTGTAAATATTTCATAACTTTTAAGTTTTCCCAAATTGTCAAAAGAAAATTATGCTTTCATTTTGTGGTATAAACATATCTAGTCCACTATATATTTAATGTCTCCTTCACTTCCCCCACCAAAACAAAAAATTGATGGAAAAAGATGATTCATGCATTATTTAATTCTTTATTACATTAAGGACATTATTTTTTGTAGCTTTTATTTATAAGGTCTGTGTCTGAGAAGTGTACATAGTAGCAATTTAGTAAATAAATTCTTTAAGTGAGGACAAATGTCTGAGCCCTGGTTTTCTTGTGTATTGTTTGTCTTTCTCCCACTTAATGTGCTTTTCCTTCTCTTAGGTTCATGGAACTGCCCCGGATATAGCAGGCAAGGACATGGCCAACCCCACAGCCCTCCTGCTCAGTGCTGTGATGATGCTGCGTCACATGGGGCTTTTCGACCAAGCTGCAAAGATTGAGACCGCATGCTTTGCTACAATTAAAGATGGAAAGGTATCAGTAATCTTGAGTGACTTGTGCGGGCTGAAATGTATTTCTTCCATGTGTTTTATTTGTGGGAGGACAATGATTCTTACGAGGGTTGGAGGATTTGGTGTTGAATAGGACCCCTTGATTAAACTTCAGGGATATATGTGCAAATGTGCACCCATGGATTTCAACAGAAAGGGGTTAAGCACTGACACAGTGGCATCAGTGTCCAGTGGAGGGAGCAGGGACTTGGAGACAGTCAGGATTAGGTACTATCTATGGCTTAGTGGTTAAGGATCTGTGCTGCCATTCCAAAGGTTAGCAGTTTGCATCTACCAGGTGCTCATGGGAGAAAGGTGGGCAGTCTCCTCCCTGTAATTTACTGCTTCTGAACTCCCACTGGTGGGTCAGGTATGAATCAGTTCCAGGTCAACAGTATGTAACATCCTAGATTAGCTATTTGGTCTCTGCCAAGTCCATTAATTATCTAGGTAGCTTTTTCCTCTTCTCAACAAACAGCTGCTGGCTGAATTTACATCATAAATGATGAAGAATATAACAAAATGGTATTTAATAAGTACATAATAAAAGATATTACATAAGGCCCAAGGAGCTCAGACTTTTTAATAGTAGATACAGTGGGTCTATACTACAGTGGTATTATGATATACTATATACATCTGTAATATAAAACTTTAAAACAGCATAAGTAATCCCATTTTATAGTTGACAGAACTTTGAGGAACAGAGACATTATGTAATTTGTTCAATGTCTCACAGGTCCCAAATAAAAAAGATGGTGTTCACATCTAATTTGGTTTTTTCTCGCCAAGTGTCTCTGCCTCCCACAGCAGCTGTGGCCCATCAAAGAGGATGCAATGGATTGTTCTGAATGTAGGAGGAGGATAGACGGGGTCTTGGCTTCCCAAGCCTGGGCTTTGCTGGCTGATCCGTAGTCTGAGGTCTCGTCCTCCTTTTTTAAAAAAATTGCTTCTTATGGTTAAAATACAAGAATTCCAAGCTTGCTTTTTTAATAGCCTGATAATCACACTGGAGGCAAATGATTTTATTCTGAAGCTGTATTTGGAATGTTACACTGTGGAACCCAGCAGAGAGAATCTTAATTACACCCTGTATTATATACATTGAGTCAGAACCGACTCATTGCTGACCCTCCAGCAGGTCTTCAGAGGCAATAAATCACACAGGAATGAGTACCTATCTTTGTCCTGCGGGAGCAGCTGTGAACCATGTGCCTTTGAGTTGGCAGTGCAGCTCTTTACTACTAGGCCACTAGAGCTCCCTAAATTACACATGTTGTTATATACCATTGAATTGGAAGCAAGCTGACGCTCCTCCGGGGTTTCAGAGGCAGTAAATTGCATGTGAGTAGATTAGCCATCTTTCCCAAGAGGAACAACTGGTGGATTTGAACTGCATGCCTTCAGCTTGGCTGTGCAGTTCCTTACCATTAGGACATGAGAACACCCTAAAAACAACACATTAGGCCCTTTTAATTGTATAGGATGCCATGACACAAGAGAATCTATTTGGGGTTAGAGGATAAGCTGGTAGAACGAGATTGACCTTAAGGAAATTTCTCCATCCTAAAGAATGAAGTTTAATAGTTAATGATTTACATATTTCCTTAGTATTTATTTCCCAACCTCCAAAGATGGTTCAAAGCATAGCCTAAGTTTTAAATAATTCTCCACAGACTTTATGAAACCTTTTGCTTAGATTGTTGTTGTTATGTGCCGTCGAGTTGCCTGCGACTCATGGTGACCCTATGTACAACAGCCCTAAACTCTGCTCTATCCTGTGCCAATTTTATTGTCTCTGACACACCTACCAGCATTACCCCAGTGACTGAATCAATCCATCTCTTTGAGGGTCTTCTGCACTGTCCCTCCACCCTTCCAAGCATGACGTTCCTCTCCAAGGACTGTTCCCCTCCTTGCAAAATGTCCAAAGTATGTCAGATGAAGCTTTTGAATCCTTGACTTCAAGGAGCAGCCTGGTTTAACCCTCTCCAGGATGATTAGTTTTTGTTTAAATGTCCATAAGTATTGCATATTTTCTTAAGATCTGTTGGTGTTGGCTATCCAAAAGGGAGATTTTGTTAAAGCCTTCCTAATTCTCTGTAGCCACAAGAATGTATTCTTATCAGAGGGTTTCCTTGTGCACTATCTACCTGGGTTTTCCCAATCCTCCTGGGATAGCTCCGGGCATAGGGTGCAGCCTCTCCTGGAAATGAACAAAATGAGAGAGAATAGCCAAGTATTTGAAGGCTTTAAGAAAGAATACCCTTAGTTTGACTTAGTGCGTGTACAAATTTTGATCTTTGCCTTTTCCCTTTCTCAGAGCTTAACAAAAGATCTGGGAGGCAATGCAAAGTGCTCAGACTTTACAGAGGAAATCTGTCGCCGAGTGAAAGATTTAGATTAACGCTCCCACTGATGGCATTTGCAGCTGGCATTCCTAATGGACACCACGTAAATCTCTGTTTAGAAAACGAACCATTTGTATGCATTTGGGTTGCTTGTTTCTTGACAGTAAATTTTCAGATCTGGCCTCGTAACAAAAATCTGTGCAAAAGATGCAGGTGATAAACCCCTCAGCCTGCTTTCAAAGGACTTTCTCCAAGTGCTGTTTATTTATTAAATGTCTATCTGGTAAACATTTTTTTTGTAAACTCTAAGGGAATTGTATCATTTTCCATTGTAAACCATTTTACACTTCAGTTGAAATATTTTTTTTCCTCAGCTGTAAATATCATGGTACAAAATTAATAAGAGAAAACATCTAACTTTTTAAAGAAGAGCTCTTTTTTTGGTTTATGAAATATATAATGGAAATAAAGCAGAATACTGGCATTATAGTATATGATGATATTCTTCTAAAACTAAATGGGCACAAGAGAAGTATCTTGGGAAAGCTCACCTGAAGAACAGCAAATACAATATATTTCTTAGTTATGAAAAATAAAGAGATTTATCCTTTACGTGAATTATTGCATATGAATAAACACTTCTGATCCAAGAAATATATAAGGAGAGATGTAATTTTGTTTATAAAATTCAGATAATATATTAGATACAAACACACATGCATTGTGTGTTCAATTATTTTGTTATATTGAGGTTTAATATTCTCTGAGTGCTTCTAATAAAGCAAAGGGTAGTAATTCCTTTTACCTGGACGTGCATTCAGCATCCTAAGTAACACACCCTTTAAGTGACTGGGCTGAACCCTGACTTGGGCCATGGAGGTGACCTTCATGTTGGGAGTGAGTGTATTCTGGGCCTCAGCACATAGATTTTGGCTACAGCTGAGGAACTTGGGATGCTGGCTAGAACTTTTCTGTGTCAGCAGTTGGTCCTTTCCCCTCTCCAAAATTCCAAATCATTGCTTCCATCTCACCCCCACCAGAAAAAGATGAAATATTAAAGAATGGCACAGTCCTAGCCTGAGCTGACTCACAGTATTGTGCTATGGATGGGATTGGTCTCAGCTTTTGACCTTCAGACACTTTCCTCCCACTTCGCCAAGTTCCTTTTCATGATTTTTGTTAAACTTCAAACACCAAGTCACTATTTTCATAAACTCTTACCCTTTGACCTCACACCAACTCATCTTCTCCCTTGGGGCTTGTGTAACATCGTAAAACCTGTGGCTTTATATCATATCCCCAGGTTACAAAGGAAATTCTTAATAAAAAACCATCTTGGTCTGGGTCCTTTTTTAATGCTTGTAACCAGTCTTACAATCTTATATGTATTTTATTTTGGTTAAGCTACTGCTTCTTTTCTTTTATGGGCTGTGCTAATTATCAGTGGCTCTTGGGTTTATTCTAATAAAGAATTCCCTAACTGAATGAGATGCGTGCTTTCTTAGTTTTACTGTCAGATAGATGCCCTCAGTCATTCTGGCTCCATTTGCTACTAAGAATGGGCTGCTTCAGGTATTCAGAGTTGGGAGGGGTGACAGGCTGGCTGCTTTAATAGACGACTTCACTGACCTTTGCTTATTCAGGCTTGAATGCTCACTCCTGTTTTACTAAACCCACTACTCTTTACACAGATCCCACCTACTCAGTTGACAGACAGTTCAGGTGCTTATTGACAGTTCTGTTAAAAGGTTTAATATTTGTATCACACATTAAATACAATCAAATAGCAGCAGCTTTATTAAGCATCAAGTAAGCTGGCATGTGCTTGGCCGAGGTGTGCCTGGTAATGGAATGACAGAGTTGGTAGGATCCCATACGAGTCCAGGTAAGTCAGGCCATTAAGTGAGTTAGGACTGACTGCTGTCCTCATAGTGCACACTGGAAATACAGACCACCTTCCCTTTGCACACACTGCCCGCTCCAGCTTGCCTGTAACATGAACTGGTCGCTTGTTAAATCTACCTGGAACTAAGCCAAAAACAATCAGTCCTTCAGTTTGGGAACAGCACTGATATTCCCTCGTCATCTGAACAAAAAACGATAAACAGGATTAAAAGTAACTATCCACAAGTGAAGTTTCCCGGGATTTTCAGCTATTATTTGCATGAGACCTGGCAAATGGAAGTGCCAGAGCCATACCCTCCCTCACCTGGAGACCCAGCAGATGGGCCAGATCATCGTGTGCTCACAGTGAAGAGGACGTGGAGTCAGAACGTGCTCCAAGAGACCTGCAATCTATTCAACAGAAACTGGAGGGACAGACACTGATTACTTTTTTTGCACCTGATAAAAGGAATCGATTATATCTTTGTACTTCTCCAGAACTGTTAGCCGTTTCAGTTTCATTGTGGGACCTAAAAAAAGACGAAAAAAGAAAAGAATGAAGCTTGGACCCTTAGAAATGTGAGGTGTGTGCTAAGATCCAGGCTGAGTGAATCCTGTAACTCTAAAAGTAAGCCAGACAAACTGGTAGTCACCCTCTAGGGACCTGCTCCTGATAGCCATTCCTGCTGCTTGTGACCAACAATTTGAAGGAAGTGATGACACATTGCCTCTCAGGATAGGTTATGAAAGACAGCAGTTTCTGTCTTGGACTCTTGGATCATTCTTGTGCCAAACCAGCTGCCATATTGGGAGGACAGGCAGCCAATGGGGAGGTCCACTGGCAAAGAACTAAGGTTTCTGGAGTGTTAACCAGCAAGAAAAAAAGTCTACCAGCCCCCACATGTGGAAGCTTGGAAACAGATAGTCTAGCCCCAGATGGTATCTTGACTAACCTCATGAGAAATTCTTGGCCAGAGCCACCCTAAGCTGCTCCTGGGTTCTTAACTCATAGACAGACTAAAAAAAAGTCTCAAGCAAGTAGGCTTTGAAAGGTAATTTGTTAAATAGCCTAAGTAGATAACCAATGCACAAATTAACTTTGCATTTCAGTTAGGGTTCATACCAAAGTCAGACATGTTTTGCTTTATGATAACAGGACAGAAGACAAGTCCTGGTGAAGGGGGGCCCCTGCCATGGTCTCCTCTAATCAATCACAAAGAAGCAAGTTTGAAAAGGCTCCTGGGAAACTTGTGTCTCACATTTGGCTGTGTAACTGGAAATGTGAAAATCAGGAATTTATATAAAATATTAGGCCTTCTTCCATCTGGTTGACCTTATATTCAACTTGTTAGCACCAGCCAAACCAGACGGGAGTAAGAACTCAGCATCTCAGCGTTAATGTGGAAAGTTGGCATCTGAGTTCAGCCCTCATGGGCTTGAGGGGATCTCACTGAAGGTTCTTTTCACTATATTAAAGGCTAGCAATGTCTGGGAGGTGCCCATCACATGACCACCCTCTCTCCGCCTCTCCCCAGAGCTCTTAACACTCCCAAGAAGGTATGACCCAGAGCAACCTCGTCCGATCAGCTGAGGCTTCCTACACCGAAGACCTTTAGAGGCCGTCTCTGTTTCTACACACCATGGTCTAGCGTGGCTTCATCTTTCTTACCTAACTCCTAAGGCCACAATAGTCTCACCCCAGAGCCATGTGACTTCAGCCCAAACAATAGTAGGGCCTTGATATTCCCATTGTGATTTCAGGGGTAATTGTGATTCCATGGTCAAGACAAATGTCATGTGTCCTAACCAATAGGTGGCGGCTTGCATCTCATATATTCGGCAGACTGTACTCGACCACAACCTCTTGCACAGATTGATCCATATCCTCCCTCAGTAAGGAAGAGGACGCCACTGAAAGTGCTGACAACGGCCTGCTTGTGGCTGCCTCATTTGACGGGCGCCTCCCAGACATTCCTAGCTCTCAATCCAGTGACAGGAAGGGACCTACCGAACTCTCCACCTGAGATGGAGAAGTCTCTTTCAAGAATGGCCCACTTCTGGATGTGGTAGGGCCGGGCAGCTGCATTCATGTTGACTCTCTGGATCCCCTCTTCAATAGCTTGATACACGGCCTCATCCCTCTTCGCCACGATCTCGGACACTGTGGTGGCTTTGCTGCCCACCCTCTGGCAGAACTCCAGAGCTTGTTCGGTCAGATTATCAGTTGGATCAGAGGTGTCTGGGTCCAGAGTGCACTGAAAATCAGGGATCAGTCAGGGCCAGGCCTCAACCCCTAAGTCCAAGGCTTTGAGGAGGTCTTGCTATCAAGGTTATGAACCACTCTGAGCTCTGTTTCAGTAAAAAGTCCTAGAATGAGCAGGCTGCTGATCTGACTTGTGGAGACCCAGGGCATAGCGGAAGGAGCAAAAGTCAGAGAAGAACTTAGCTAATAAAGTGAGCATTAAAACAGTCAGTAAAACAGGGGCAAACCTTGTGCCCAGACTACTGCCTCAGGGGACTCTGCTGAAGAATGAGGGCAGCAGCACGGTCTAAATGGGAACAGACTCATCACATGTACAGGATCATCACAGCAGAATATTAATGCACCCCTGGGGACGAGGAATTGCCATGTGGTGGCTCCCCTTTAGTGGCAGCAGCAGATTGGAGCCTGGGATCCAGATGTGGCCTGGGCTGAACATGGCTTCTATGTGGGCTGGACCCACAGACCACACACCAACTGCTCCTTCTGGGTCAGAGCCCCCCCACACACACCTTCAAGGTAAGCAGCATGGACAGGAACTTCTGCCGGTCCCCGATCAGCATAGCGTTGCTGATGATGGGAAGCTCCATCTTCACGGCCTCCTCAATGGGCACAGGGGGTATATTTTCCCCGCCAGCTGTGATGATTAATTCTGGGGAGAAAAGGCCAGGGTCCCAGCATTACCTTTAGTCCTCTGCCTTTGTTGAACCAAGACCTAACCTTTAGTCACAGTCCAGGGCGGCCAGAAAAGCAGGGGGAAGCGTTGGAGACATGGGCCCAGAGATGCCCTCTGACAGTGCAAGAAACAGGGCTAAGCCCTTGGAAGCACCTCATACCTGCTGGGGACAGTGATGAATTCCCCTAAGGGTTCCACTCCCTTGATCATCTGAAGCTCTGCTTGCTCACACGTCTATGGCTTCCTTCGGCCAGACTACGATCCCCAGTGGACCTCCTGTCCTGCCCTCTGAATAGACTATTAAATTCTCCTATTGCCTTTGCTTGTGGACAACCACCCCTACCACTGACACCACTCACCATGACCCTCACAATAAGCCTAAAAAAGAGAGAGGATAAATAATGTACACTGCATTGGAACAGATGAAGGAGAGAACTGTTTAAAAGAAATATATAATTAGGTATTATTTTCTTTTTTTAAAATTTTTTTAAAATTTTATTATTTTTGTGTGAGTGTACCGTCAAATCAGATCTGACTGGTACAGGAGGAGATTGTCCCTCCTTCCCCGGCAGAGCATCTGGTGGATTCGAACTGAAGGTATTATTTTTATGACAAAAGTCCAGAATAAGAGCTGCACAGTAAAGTGTACTGGGGGCAGATTGTATAACAATGAAAGTTTTTTTTCAAAAAGAAAAGCAAACCGGGGGCAGGGGGGGAGGTGGGCAGGGAGGAAAATGTACAACAATGAACGAATGGAAATTCTAGTTCTGGATAAACTTCCATTTTTTTTAAAAAAAGCATCATGCTTATCATTATACAGATGAGAAAACTAAGGCATGGGGAGTTTAACTGGCTTGCCCAAAATAGCCCAGCTCCAGAACACATTCTGCTGGGAACGTCTCACCTTGTTTGTGCCTGCCCCACTGGAATGCCCTCTTGCTTTCCTTCTCTCTGTCCTCCAGACTTTCCTTCAAGGACCAGCTTATCTTGTCTCCTTAGGAAACCTCCAACTCTTCCATTGTACCTCAACCAATCCCTTCTCGGAGCTTTTACTCAAAAAATTCACCTTCTCATCTACAGACTCCTTCTTCCTTCAAATATTCATTGTCCACTGTGTGCTCCAAAGAGTGCTCTTAGGAGGCAAGGATGATGAGGCTTTGCCTCACATACTTTGGGTGTGTTGCTAGGAGGGGCTATTCCTTGGAGAGGGAGGGACACTATGCTTGGAAGGGTGGAGGGTTCGCAAAGGAGAGGAAGACCCTCAACCAGGTGGATTGACACGGCGACTGCTACAATGGGCTCTTGTGTGTCAGGAAGTATGAGGATGGCGCAGGATAGAACGGTTCATTCACATCTTTTGTTCATAGGGTTGCTACAGGTTGTAATCAACTCAATGGCACCTAACAAAAACAACCACCACCACTGTGTGCCAGGCCAGTATGGGCCAACTCACTCAAATTCATTGTCTACTGTGTGCTAGTCCTAGCATGAAATGTTAGGCAATCAATGCACTGGCTTTCTGTTTTCTGAATCATGGCTTACTATATAACAGCAGCAGCAATGAGCAGCTTGCTGTTACATACCACTGAGCTGGCAGTGACCCATAGCTCATCCTTCAGTAGGCTTTCAGAGGCCGTAAATGCGTGGGAGGAGATTAACTATCTTCCTCTGGTGGAGCAGCTGGTGGATTTGAGCCATGTGCCTTTGGGTTGGCAACACAGTTCATTACTGAAATAAGTAGGTATTATATATTGTAATGAGCAGGCATTTAAACACACCTATCTTGATTTTAAACCTGCTAGTAAGTAACCCTTACAGTACATAGAAATCCTTCTGTTTGAATGGCTGCTTCTTGATCTGTATGAAAAGGCTGAGCATGAATGAGCACATGACATATTCTGGAATTACCTAAATGCTGCATTTCCCATTTTTCTCAATGTTATAAATACAAAATATAAACAAACAAAACTTCACTGCTGTTGAGTCAAATCCAACTCACAGCAACCTCTCATCAGGTTTCTGAGGCTGTAGATCTTCATAAGAGAAGCCAGTTCACTATTCCCCCCCTCAGAGATACTGTGGGTTTGAACTGGTGACCTTCCAGTTAGGAGTGAAACATGTAATACACTATGCCGCTAGGGCTCCTTATCTACTCAATGTGCTGTTGTTGTTGATAGGCTAAATGCAGTAACTATGTCTTTATAAGGAGAGGGTTATTTAAAGATATAGATATAGATGATATAGATATATATATAGATAGATATAGATATATATAGATATACACACACACACACACA